AATGTACATATCATTAGATAACAAAAATGCACAACCACAGCTGTTTCCAGATATCTAACTTTTTCATTTCGAACATCATCGGGATGTATAGTAGCTGGCTTTTCCATGGCTACCAAACTAAGGATCTGGAGTAAATGATTTTGCATTACATCACGGATTATACCGAAACTGTCAAAATATCCACCACGTCCTTCGGTCCCAAATGGTTCTTTGAAAGTTATTTGCACCTGTGCAATATTGTCTCTGTTCCATCCAGTGTTCAATATTCTGTTTCCAAACCTGAATAAATTTACAACATAACCATTATGCATTATTATATTCATTGGGACAAATATTTTTTTAACGTTTCCTTTACCTGAGTGTCATGAGATTTTGAACCATCTCTTTGCCCAGGTAATGATCAATACGGTACACTTGATCTTCACTGAACAACTTGGACAAATGGTCAGAAAGTTTCAATGAACTAGCAGCATCCCGACCAAAAGGCTTTTCAATGATAACACGAGTCCAACCTCTAAAAATAAATTATATTAAAGCTATAGTGATCTATTTGTAGTAAAATCATAGTTGTAAATAAATCGATTGATCTACTGACTTATGATCCATGCATGTTTCATGGATGTTTGAGGTAACCACCTCAAACAACGAGGGTGGTATAGCCAAATAGAACAGCCTGTTAGAGGTACCAGAAATCTCGTGTTTGGAAAGTTTTACATTCAGAGTGCGGTAATCAGCAGAAATGTCATAAGACCCAGCAATATAAAAGTTGTAAGACCAGAATTCGGCAAGACGTTCTTTCTCATTTTCGTTGCACTACAGAATAAAATGCAAATTAATGAAACCTTTAATAACAGTTGTTTTTTAAATCATTAATAAAATGGAATGTTACATTATCCTACTTTTAAATATGGTGAAACGTTGCTTATTAGTTGTTCCATACTTAATTTTGATCTGGAATATCCATAAATGAATGTCTTGTCTGGAATCAATTTATCGCGGAACAACATCCAAAGAGTTGGGTAGATTTTCTTTTTTGCTAAATCTCCCTGCGTAATTGAATTGAGTTAATACATATTATAACAGTCAGCAGATCTATACAAATCTGGATAAATAATWTACCGAAGCACCCATCACAACAATCAGGTGAGTGATGTTTTGATCATAGTGGGCCCCCTCTACATCCATTTGAGGAGAGTTTAAGGACGTTCTTATCAAGCGTAGAGCTTCTTCTAGAGTGTCTAATCAACAGAACAATAAAAAATTAGTAACAAAAAATATAATAAGTGCTAACTTTACAATAGAAAAAAAATAATGAAGTTTATTTTTAAAAGGCAATTTCTTTAAAAAAATTTAAAGAAATTTCTATTAAAATAATGATTAGTGTTAAAAATCGTTATTTCATCTAATGTTATGGATTATTAGTTTTGTTATTATAATAGGCATACAAAAAAATTAATTATCTATTCATATGGTAATTAAACAACGAGCAAAAGCTAAAAAGAAGTTTATATTAATGTTGTTAAAAATAGATAATATTTTGTAGCAGTATTACTATTTCAATTTTTATTCTTAATAAGTTTTTAATAAATTATTATAAATGTGTTATAATAGTTTGTAAATTTATAAATTATACTTGTCTAACCTTAAATTTACTATTAATCTCTTGGCAACAATAACATATGAATAATAATATATTTAACAACCACCAATCATTAATAGTTTCCATTATTTTGTATTGATTCAATAATAACAATAACTTTTGGTAAAAAATGGAATTCGTGTTTAAAAGAATATACACATTGTGTGTGGTTAAATATACTCCACTGAACAGTAAGATATAATAAAACACATAATAAATTGTATTTTTCACATCAAAATTTTAGATAACTTCAATAACACAAACATGGCTAATATAAATGTATATTAAAAATTTAATTGCACTACTCAAATTTCACAACAAATAAATGTTATACAAAAATAGGGTACCCAGTTCCAGATAAACTTCAGGTGTAAGCAACAGAGGTCTCAACTCTTTTAAATACTTCCCCAATGTTATAGATATTTTGTGCTTTCTTATAAGAATTTTAAATTAGAGAACCTTCATTTTTTTTTTACACCTGGACCCTAAAGGGGTTTAAAACCTGGCAGGTACCTATTATTTATTTAATATTAACATAAACAATATAGGTACTGAATGATAACTGAAACAAAAATAATGAAGAGCAAATAAATTTTATAATCTATATGGTTAATATTACTCTTTTGATGAAAAATGATTTAAGTATACCAATAGTTATTATTATAATTATAATTACCTAAAGTATAATATATTAGATTGTGTATAAGTATCTAAATGTTAAAAGTAATACTATAGTAACTAATAGGATTAAATTACATTAATTTACATTAATTAGAGAGAAATAAAATAACCAATAATTTAAATTATAAAGATAATATATGTTATTTAATGAGCAGTTTAATATTAAAGATAAAATATAAATAAAATGTTGAAGAACCTATTATTAGTATAATTGTTTTCATTGTTATCAAAAAAGTAAAATGTTAAAATATGATATAGGTAGTCACTACTCACTAGTCATTGCAAATTGCAAATTGAAATTAATTATTTTGAGACCTTAA